AGAGAGAGAGGGAGACACAGAATCTGAAGCAGGCTCCAGGCTCTGAGCTGTCAGTACAGAGCCTGATGTGGGGCTTGAACTCAAGAACCGTGAGATCAAGAGCTGAGCCTAAGTCAGACGTTTAACCGACTGAGCCACCCAGGTGCCCCTGAGACTTTTTTTTCCCACTGGATATTCTTCCTGGCTTTGTCAAAAATGAGTTAACCATATAGTTGTGCGTCCATTTCTGGGTTTTCTATTCTGTTACATTGATCTGTGTTTGTTTGTGTGCAAGTGCCATACTGTCTTGATGATTACAGCTTGATAATATAGCTTGAAATCTGGAATCATGATGCTTCCAGTTTTGTTTCTCTTTTGCAGAATTGCTTTGGCTATTTGGGGTCTTTTGTGGTTCCATACAAATTTTAGGATTGTTTGTTCTAGCTCTGCAAAAAATACTGGTGGTATTGTATAGGGATTGCAATAAATGTGTAGATTGTTTTCCGTAGTATAGACATTTTAACAATGTTTGTTCTTCCAGTCCATGAGCATGCATGGAATGCTTTTCCATTTCTTTGTGTCCCCTTCAGTTTCTCTCATAAGTATTCTATAGTTTTCAAAGTATAGATCTTTTACCTCTTTAGTTAGGTTTATTACTAAGTATCTTGCTATTTTTGGTACAGTTGCAAATGGGGTCGATTCCTTGATTGCTTTTCCTGTTGCTTCGTTATTGGTGTATGGAAACACAACAGATTTCTGCACATTGATTTTGTATCTTGCAACTTTGCTGAGTTCATGTATTATTTCTAGCAATTTTTGGTGGAGTCTTTCAGGTTTTCTAGAGTATCATGTCAGCTGCAAATAGTGAAAGTTTGACTTCTTCCTTGTGGGTTTGGATGCCTTTTATTTCTTTTGGTTGTCTTGATTGCTGAGGCTAAAACTTCAGTACTATGTTAAATAGCAGTGGTGAGCATGGACATCCTTGTCTTGTTCCTGACTGTAGGGGAAAGTTTCTCAGTTTTTCTCCATTGAGGATGACATTACTTGTGGATCTTTGTATATGGCCTTTATGATGTTGAGGTATGTTTCATCTGTCCCTATTTTGTTGAGGGTTTTAGTCAAGAATGGAAGCTGAATTTCGTCAGAAGCATCTTTATTTGTAATAGCCAAAAACTGGAAATAAGTCAAAAGTCCTTCAGTGGGTGAATGGTTAAATTGTGAGGTATCTGTAGCATGGAATACTACTCAGCAATAAGAAGGAACAAACTATTGATACGTGCAGCACTCGGATGGATTGCAGGGGAATTACACTGAATGATGAAAAAAATGGGTCTCATAGAGAATAGATTTGCAGTTGTCAGATTGAGGAGTGAGGCAGGTGGCTATTTCTATAAGTGGGTGGTAAGAAAGATCCTTGTGATGGAGCTTTCTGTATCCTAACTCTTGGTCACAGTAATCTACATGTATATGACAGAATTTCATAGCACTAAATACACATTAATGAATGTGTAGAACTGGGAAAATGTTGGTAATTGTATTAATGTCCGTTTACTGTTTGTGATTTGGCATATAGTTATGCCAGATATTACCATCAGGGGAAACTGGGTGAAGGGTGTATGGGATCTTTCTGTATTATTTCTTACAACTGCTTGTGAATTTACAGTTGTCTTCAAATAAAAAGTTAAATGTTTTTTTTAATTTCTTTTTTTAATGTTTTATTTATTTTTGAGAGAGAGAGAGAGAGAGTTCTAGCAGGGGAGGGGCAGAGAAAGGGAGACACAGAATCTGAAGCAGGCTCCAGGCCCCAGGCTGTCAGCACAGAGCCCAACGTGGGGCTCGAACCCACAAACCATGAAATCATGGCCTGAGCCAAAGTCAGATGCTTAACCGACTGAGCCACCCAGGCGCCCCTCAAAATTAAATGTTTTTAAATGGTGTGATAAAGCTATCATAATAAATTAAAACTACAGAACAATTTCATTTAAGAGTATTGATGAAAATTTTAAATAAAATTTTAGCATATAGAGGCTGTGAGCACATTAAGTGAATAATATGCTATGCCCAAGAAGGTACCGCATCAGAAATTTAAAAGTGTTTCAAAATTAAGAGATCTGTTAAAATAGCTCACCAAATTAAATAGAGAAAGATAAATGCTGAGATCGATATTGGTAGAATTCAACATCCACTCCTAAGCATCAAAAAACAAAAAAATTTTGGGGCTCCTGGGTGGCTGTCGGTTAAGCATCCGACTTGGGCTCAGGTCACGATCTCACTGTCCGTGAGTTCGAGCCCCGCGTCGGGCTCTGTGCTGACTGCTCAGAACCTGGAGCCTGTTTCAGATTCTGTGTCTCCCTCTCTCTGACCCTCCCCGTTCATGCTCTGTCTCTCCCTGTCTCAAAAATAAATAAAACGTTTAAAAAACAAACAAACAAACAAAAAAAAATCTTAAAGTAGGCAACTGCTTTCTTAATATGATAGTGTTTTGTGTGTATATACTTTTGCTCATATTCATATAAACATACACATACATCAAGTCAAAAGGCAGCATATGTTTAATAGTGAGGCTAGTAGAAATATCTCCATTAAGGGAACAAAGGAAGGGATACTTATCATCAGTTCTATCAGTTAACATAAATATTGTTTTAACCCTAATAGTCACTAGCCAGTGCAAAGTCAAGAGGCGTAAAAATTTGAGAGTATGTTACAACATTATTATTTGCAAATATGCATGTATTACGGAAAACCTAAGAGAGTCTACTGAAATGCTGTTAAATCTAAAAAGCAAAAAATAAAAAGGGGGCATCTGGGTGGCTCAGTTAGTGAAGTGTCCAACTCTTGATTTTGGCTCTAGTCATGATCTCCTGGTTCTCAAGATCGAGCCTGATGTGGGCTGTGAGCTGAGCATGGAGTTGGCTTGGGATTCTCTCCCTCTCTTTCTGCCTCTCCTCTGCTCATGCTCTGTCTCTCACTAATTAGCCACCTTATTAATATAAGGTTTCAATTGTTTTATTATGTAGAAAGAATAACCACTTACATGTAATCTAATAAAACGTTCCATTTACAATAATAAAAAGTACAAAAGATACAAAAGGAAAATTTTAAAATACCACTGAATGGCATAAAATAATGATTAAGTGAGAAAACCGTTTATTCTTTGATAGAAAGCCTTTCAGCATTATAAGGTGCCTGTTTTCTTATATTAGAACATAAATGTTATGGGGCGCCTGGATGGCTCAGTCTGTTGAGTGTCCTACTTTTGATTTCTGCTCAGGTCATGATCCCATGATTCGTGGGTTTGAGCCCTACATTGGACTCTATGCTGACAGTGTGGAGCCTGCTTGAGATTCTCTGTCTCCCTGGCCCTCCCCCACTTGTGCTCTCTCCCCCTCTCAAAACAAATAAACCTAAAAGAAAATAAATGTTACGAACCCAGTAAAAACGCCAGTAAGATTTTTTTAAATTCAAGTATAGGTGTCACACAACCATTAAGATTTTTATTTTCTTTTAAAGTTTACTATGTTGTTGGGGGGGAGAGGGGAGGGGAGAGAGAATACCAAGCAGGCTCTGTGCTCTCTGTGCTCTCAGTGCTCCCAGCGCTCCCAGCCTGATGCTGGTCTTGATCTCACAAATGTGAGATCACGACCTGAGCCGAAATTGAGTTGGATGCTTAACTGAGTGATCCAGGTGCGCCCAGCCATTAAGATTTTTAAACCTGATGAACTAATTGTTTATATATAAATAATACAGAGTGGACGAGAAAATTCTGCAAAGGAAGAGTGATTAGGACAGACTAGCACTAATGTATTAATATATATTACAAAGGAAAGAAAAACTGAAAAGAAAATCATTGTTAAAAGTTACAGATAAAATACCTTACAAAGGTAAAGTTTCAAAATAGTTTCATGTAGTTGCACAAATAGACAAAAGGTCAGTAGTACAGAAAGAATCTGGAAATAGTCCCCAGATCAGATGGAGCATCAGTAAATCATTATGATAATATTTTTAATTAGCAAGGAATTATTCATTAGTTATTCATTAAGTTAACTAGCCACTTTGTAAAAGTAAAGTACTTTAATGGAAAATGTAGATGGATCAAAGATTTAGTGTGATACATAAGGTGGTAATTAAAATATTGAAAGAAAATGTGGAGTTTTTTTTGTTTTTTTTTTTTAATTTCAGAGTGAGGACTTCCTTCCCTATCAGGAAAACATTTGATTATGTAAAAAGTATTTTTCCCTAAGTATTTTGCATAACTTCTAAAAAATTGTTACCTGTATGATACAGATGAATTTTCTTCTTCTTTTTTTTAATGTTTATTTATTCATTTTTGAGAGAGAGAGAGCATGTGCTTGCGAGTATGAGCAGGAGAGGGGCAGAGAGAGCGGGAGACAGATGATCTGAAGCAGGTTCCATGCTGACAGCAGAGAGCCTGATGTCAGGGCCCAAACTCCTGAACCATGAGATTATGACCTGAGCTGAAGTCTGATGCTTAACCAATTGAGCCACCCAGGCGCCCCCAGATGAATTTTCTTAATATATAAAGATCTCTTAACAAATAATGAGAAAAACCTCAACAACCCAAAAGATAAGTTGGCGAATATTATGAATAGCAGATCACAGAGAAAAATATAGTGTTGAATTCAACATGTGAAAATTAACACAACTTGACTCCTATTTAAAAAAATAAAAATTAAACCATACCAGTTTCCATTTCAGTTTTGAGTGATTAATAACTTATCTACTATGTGTGGTAATGGAAGCTCCACTGTCATGGGCTTTTGATGGGAATATCAGTTGGTACAGACTTCATGGAGGGCAATTTAATATAGTTAAAATTGAAATCTTTGCCTTTTTTCTCATCACCTCCATATCTCACAATTTATCTATATAGTTCCACAAGTATACAAAGATGAGTATAAGGATGTTTCTTACAGTGTTTTTTCAGTCATTGCCAGGTTAGGTCTTTCCTAAATCTATGTGATATTATTTGTAATGTGTCTTTGATATATTTTTCTTACTAGCCAAAACTGGACAAGTTAAGACATCTGGAACCAAAGTAAATAAATCTTCAGGTATGTTTTTTACTAGAACTCTAGACATATTAGTTAACTTTAAATTACTTATCTTGGATTTCATATGACATAATATTTGCTGGGTGTATACTAATTTTTTAAAATTTATAGTCACCTAGAAATTCTGAGAAAGAGATTTAGTAGATATGCTCCTTCTTTGTACTAATTAGTAAAATAAGATAATTGGGAAACTTTCTCATGATGAATATTAGAGATAATTCCCCTCTTTTTTATTGAAGTCTTCTCTCTGGTTTACTTTCTTTTGTAAAATAACTCTGATAACAGCAAATTATGTTTTCAGTTTTTATGGACTATAGTGGGTTTTAATTATTTTTTTCTCTTCTATTATTATCCTCTCTAGTTCTCCTTTCTATTAAATGTTGGTTAGTTTAGGGTCATCTTTTTAAATGGATAGAGATCAGTGTATTAAATTATCTTCTCTATAATGGTAGAAAGGAAGCAGGTTACAGTTGGGAAATACCATTGTTAGTGGCAGAGCCAGAATTTTCATAGAATAGTTTCTTCAAAGCAATAATCTGAGTGGGTCAGGAAGCTGGAAGTCTTGTTTTAAGGATGCATTTATTTACTCAACAGTTCGATACTGCTTTGAGAGTGAGTTTATGGGAGTTTTGGTGGAGACTTGGGGGGAATGGGTGTTAAAGCTGCTTAGCCACTCCTTAACTGTTGGAAATTAATTCTACATTTTTTCTCCCTTAAGTTCTGATAACCCAGCCAGAAGTAATAAAGTGGATTGACCTGTTATAATATAGGGATAGTGAAAGAAATACGTAAGGGCTCTTTGGGGCTCAGTGTGTCAGAATTTGAGATTGACTAAGAAATGACTAGTTAGGTGATACTTTATAAGTATTGGTATTAATCTTTTTGAGCAATGGTTAGGGTCTGTATTTGGATATAAAGGGTGAATTTGTAAACTATTTCAGTTGATTTTTGTGCATATCTATAATTGTTTTATTTGTATGGTAACTTCTCAAAAGCACAATCATGTTCTCACAAGGGTTCTGTAAAGTAATCATCGCATTTGCCACCCTTGTTTATAAATGAGCAGATATGCACAGAAATTGATTCATGCCCTAAGACTTAACAGTTTTTTTAAGTTCATTTATTTATTTGGCGGGGACCAGAGAGAGAGAGAGAGGGAGGGAGGGAGGGAGGGAGGGAGAGAGAGAGAGAGAGAGAAAGAGAGAGAAAGAGAGAGAAAGAATTCTAAGCAGGCTCCACACAAGCAGCTGGAGCCTGCCACCGGCCTGAAACTCATGAAACACGAGATCATGACCTGAGCCAAAACGAAGAGTTGGACACTTATCCTGCTGAGCCACCCAGGCCCCCTAAGACTTCACAATTTAATTTGGAAGTCAACTTGATCTACTGACTTTTTGTTTATTTTTGACAGAGAGACAGAGCATGAGTAGGGGGGCGCAGAGAGAGAGGGAGACACAGAATCTGAAGCAGCATCTAGGCTCTGAGCTGTCAGCACAGAGCCCGACCTGCAGCTCGAACTCACAGACCGCGAGACATGACCTGAGCTGAAGTCGGATGCTCAACCGACTGAGCCACCCAGGCGCCCCATGACTTTTTTTTCTTTTCTAACGTTTATTTATTTTTGATAGAGACAGAACGTGAGCAGGGGAGGGACAGAGAGCAAGGGAGACAGAATCCAAAGCAGGGTCCAGGCTCTGAGCTATCAGCACAGAACCTGATACAGGGCTCGACTCATGAACTGTGAGATCATGACCTGAGCTGAAGTCAGATGCTTAACTGAGTGAACCATCCAGATGCCCCTTAATCTACTGACTTCTGATTCTGGGCTTTTTCCTCATAATGCAACCTTGGTAGTTAATGGATCCTAGTTTTCAGAGCTAAACCTCCTGTTGCTCTCTGAATGGAAAGGGATTTGTTCTCCGGTGATCTTTTCAGTGCTGCTTTGATGATCACAGTCTTTACACATCATCCTTGAAGAAAAGCAACAGTAATGTGTATGTATAAAAGGTCAGAATAATTTAAATAGTCCTGTTCACATAGAGCGCACTAGGTATGAGTTATAGCAATCTTAATGTAGCCTAGCCATGATTGTAGGTATTCTTCAATGCTTTTCAATCAACTGGAATCCAAGTAAGCTTGAGCTGGGAGACCCTAATTATAACTGCTTGTGGAACCATTAAAAGCATTATGGGATTTTTTTTTTTTTTTTAATATTTGTTTATTTTGTGAGAGAGAGTGGGTGCAAGGTTGGGGAGAGAGGAAGAGGCAGAGGGATAGAGAGAGAGAATGAATGAATTCCAAACAGACTTCCTGCTGTCAGAACAGACCCTGATGTGGGACTCTATCCCATGAACCTTGAGATTATGACCTAAGCTGAAACCAAGAGTCAGACACTTAACCAACTGAGCTACGCAGGCACTTGGGATTGTTTCTGTATCCTTGGCAGTTAGTTGATCCACACGTTGAGAGATTTATTTAACTTGCCTGAATGCTATTTTTAAGTACCTCACTGGAGAGATGAATTCTGATTTTATTGATTTTTTTTTTTTTTTTTCTCCTGAAGGAGTTAATCATCCTTGCTAGATTTAGAAAATGACCTGTGTTCCAAAGATGATACCATTATGGGTTTGGGATAAAATGTTCTGTCACTCATATTCTTTATGAAGTTCTTTGGGGATCGTTGATACCAATTAAATCAATTTTGACTATAACTTTTGTTATTTAGGGAAATCAGCTGGTTCTGTAAAATCTGTGGTAACAGTAGCTGCTAAAGGTAATAAAGCTTCAGTCAAAACAGGTAAGACTATTGGGAAGGAGAGGTTTTATTAAGTTCTTCTTGCCTTAGAGAATATAACAAACAATATCAAAAGCAAGCTTTATACTCCTATAATTTGTAGTATCTGATAACATCTTGAAAAGTTTAGTAGATACTTATTTAATATTTAAAACCTGACATGTAATGCGACTTTGAGTTTTTGGTATATTGATCTTGGCAGTGTGTGCCATTGCAGATACATTTTTGTGTAAGAAACTTTTTTTTTTTAAGTTTATTTGTCTATTTTGAGAGCGAGAGAGAGAGAGCGTGCGTGCAGACAGGAGGGGAAGAGAGGGGAGAGAGAGGGAATCCCAAGCAGTCTCTGCACCATCAGCACAGAGCCCAATGCAGGGCTTGAACCCACGCCTGATGCTCAACCGATTGAACCACCCAGGTGCCTCTGTATTGGAAGCATTTTTTTTTTTTAATTTTTTGTTTTTTAACGTTTATTTATTTTTGAGACAGAGAGAGACACAGCATGAACGGGGGAGGGGCAGAAGGAGAGGGAGACACAGAATCGGAAGCAGGCTCCAGGCTCTGAGCCATCAGCCCAGAGCCTGACGCGGGGCTCGAACTCGCGGACCGCGAGATCGTGACCTGAGCTGAAGTCGGAGGCTCAACCGACTGAGCCACCCAGGTGCCCCTATTGGAAGCATTTTTAACAGCTCTGTGATTACAGGTTGCTCTGTCACTTCCCCCTACAAATTGTTTAATCTTTATTTTCTCAAGTTTTTTTTTTTTTTTTAATTTTTTTTTTTTAACGTTTATTTATTTTTGAGACAGAGAGAGACAGAGCATGAACAGGGGAGGGGCAGAGAGAGAGGGAGACACAGAATCTGAAACAGGCTCCAGGCTCTGAGCTGTCTGCACAGAGCCCAACGCGGGGCTCGAACTCACGGACCGCGAGATCATGACCTGAGCCGAAGTCGGACGCTTAACCGACCAAGCTACCCAGGCGCCCCTATTTTCTCAAGTTTTTAGAGCTGTCACTTCATATTACCTTCCCTACCTTATATATTTTTCTGTTTGTTACTCCAGAAAAGATTTTTCTTACCCTGTAAAAAGAATGTGTTTCCTCCATAAAGAAAGGAATGTAACATGTTGAAACTAATATGACCTGTTTATTAATATATAGAATTATTTTATTTTATTTTAAAAAAGTGGTTTTTTATTTATTTTTGAGAGAGAGAGAGAGACAGTGTGAGTGGGCAAGGGGGGAGAGGGAGACACAGAATCCAAAGCAGGCTTCAGGTTCTGAGCTGTCAGCACAGAGAGATGTGGGGTCTCAAACTCATGAACTGCGAGATCATGTCCTGAGCTGAAGTTGGACACTTAACCGACTAAACTACCCAGGCACCCTATATAGACTAATGTTAAAGAACCTTTGTACAAATTACGAAATACGATTTTTTTAATGTGTGATCATGATGTGCTTCTACCACTGGGGGGATAAATCTGTGGCTCATTACTGACCATCAGTAAGAACTGTATCTCATTTTAAATTTGCTTTTAATCTTACTGGTAAACAGATATAAGTGGGAATAATAAATACATGGAAAAGAACTGCTTTTATAATGTTGGACTAAATTACTTCTATGTGTTAGTATGAAACATGCTAAGTGATTGAACAGGTCCCTAGAATAATAGTTCACTTCTACTTTTAAAAGCAAAATCTAGTGGAAAGAAGTCTCTAGAAGTCAAAAAGGCTGGCATTGTCAAAAACAAAGACACCAACAAACCTGTCATCGTACCAGGTAAGCTTGAAATGCTTTCTTTTAGTGCTTTCTTTACATCTTCTAGGTGTACGTTTAGAGTGTATTTTGAAATTATTGCTTTAAAATCTTGAAAGGGATTGTTTTGTTGTTTTTCAAAGAAAAACCTGTCTTAGCTCTGACCTAAATCAGGTCAGCCTAAGGAAACTTACATGACGATTTAAGCTCCTGTTTAGATTCATTAGTTTAATTATATTAGTATGCTTTTCTAGACTATTAAAGCAGACTATTTCATGCAGAAAACTCTGAAATAAAGACCAGTGTGGAAGTCAAAGCCACTGAAAATAGTGCTAAAGAAACGGTTTCAGGTAGGTCAATAAAAATTTTATTTTGTTCTCTTATGTTTAAAGATGGAAGATTAAATTTGGAGAAAATAGGGTATTTAATTTTGTGTCAGATATAGTTAATATATTTTTTTAAATACGAGGTTCATACCTAAGTGAAATTTAAAATATTGTGATTCAGATCTACACCCTGTCTCTTGATTATTCTGAAGTTTTGCTCTTGGAATAAAATGAAACATATTAATTTAAAAACCATTGTTCATTCTGTAGCTGCTTCCTTAAATTTTCTAGTATTTTGTCAGTTGTGTACACTTCCATGCAGTTACTATTTAATCCAATGTGGAAAAAGTGAGAGCTTGATAAAATATATCTGCATGAATTCTTTATTTTCTATCTTAAGAAGCTGCTGTGGAGGCCACAGAAAATGAACAAGTCAACAAGGTCAGTTTTTATATTTTACTTATTATTTAAAAGCTTAGGAAATTTTGACACAATATGTTTTTCTTATTGTAAACCCAGTAAAAAATGTACAGGATTTGGCATGGTGAAAAATCTATCATTTGTGACTTTTTAGATAGGGTTTGAGTTGCAAAATAAGTCATAAAAATTTAGGTGCAGGTTATTAATAAAGGTACATGTTTTTGAGGTTTACCTTTCACTGAGAAAAAAAAGTTAGGCCAAAATGGGCTTTTGAGTAGAAAAACCAGTGGTGTAATTAGAACCAGTAGAATTTTTTGAAGTCTGTTTTTTTAGAAGCAAATAGGAGATAAGTTAATATTTAGAATACCAGTTCTGTGTGTTTTCAGAATAGCGAGTGGAATTTGAGATTTTATTTGAGGGCATAAAGTTTGCTTTATTGTTTTCCTGTGGTTAACATTTGTCATTATGAATGTATTAAAATCCTGTTAATGTAGATTTTACTGGTTAAGGTCTTGAGATCATTCAGGTGCTAAGCATTAAGTTTATTTTTGACTGGTAGATTCATTCTTCAAGTAGTAACTAAGTAGTATGTATCTTACTGTTGTTTTAGGAAGTTTTTTTTTTTTTTTTCTTTTTTTGAGAGGGAACACAAGGTGGGGAGAGGGGCAGAGAGAGAAAGCATCCTAGGCAGAGCTGGACACAGGGCCCAATCCCACTACCCTGGGAAATCAAGAGTCAAGATGCTCAACCAACTGAGCCACACAGGCACCCATGTTTCAGGAAGGATATTTTAAAGCACAAATAGATTGACTTAAGGACTTCAAAAGGAACATTTATGAACACAATTGATGTGCTAGTTAAAAATCATTCTCATCTTACTTATAAAAAGTATAACTTCCTGACACCCCCCCTCCTTTTATTTTTCAAAAGAAAAGTTACAGATTGTCCAATTTACTATAGTATACCTTTGGGGATTTTCTCAACATTCACTAAAGGAAAAATTGGCATTGATGAGAGTCATTTGAAGAATAAAATAGATCCGAGAGACGAGAAGGCAGAAATGAAAGTATTTACTTTGTAATGGGAATTGGGCTATAGGGAAAGGTTCCTAAGAGACGAGATAAGCTTTTTAATATTGCCTAAAAGATCATTTTATTTGGCGAGATAAAAGGATATGCTCTGACTTGGAGGTTGGAGATGTTAGCAAAACATGGCACAGGAATGGCAGAGCATGGAGGTGTTGTCAGAGACAAACTGGTGTTTTAAAGTTGTATTTTTATTTTTGTTATTTTTTTTTAATGTTTATTTTTGAGGGAGAGAGCGTGAGCAGGGGGTGGCAGAGAGGGGGGAGGGCAGAGGATCCTAAGTGGGCTGTGCACTGAAGGCAACGAACCCAATGTGGGCTGTAACTGATGTGGGTTGGAACTCATGAACCCATGAGATCATGACCTGAGCCGAAGTCGGATGCTCAATCAACTGAGCCACCCAGGTGCCCCACTTGTATTTTTATTTTTTAATTATTTTTAGCTTTTTTTAAAGCTTTTGTTTACATATTTTTTTTTAATTTTTTTTTCAACGTTTTTTATTTATTTTTGGGACAGAGAGAGACAGAGCATGAACGGGGGAGGGGCAGAGAGAGAGGGAGACACAGAATCGGAAACAGGCTCCAGGCTCCGAGCCGTCAGCCCAGGGCCTGACGCGGGGCTCGAACTCACGGACCGCGAGATCGTGACCTGGCTGAAGTCGGACGCTTAACCGACTGCGCCACCCAGGCGCCCCTGTTTACATATTTTTTAAAGTTTATTTTGAGAGAGAGTGTGTATGAGCAGGGGTGGGGAAGGGAGAAAGAATCCCAAGCAGAGTTTGATACTCAGTGCGGAGCCCAATGTGGGGTGCAAACTCATGAACTCTGAGATCATGACCTCAGCCAAAACCAAGAGTCAGATGCTCAACCCACTGAGCCACTCAGGTGCCTCCCAAGATTTAATTTTTTTTAAATAGTTTTTTTTTTTTTAAATGTTTTTATTTATTTTTGAGAGAAAGAGAGACAGAGCATGAGCAGGGGAGGGGTAAAGAGAGGGGGACAGAGAATCTGAAGCAGGCTCCAGGCTCTGAGCTGTCGGCACAGAGTCCGACGCGGGGCTCGAACTCATGGACTGTGAGATCATGAGCTGAGCCGAAGTCGGACGCTTAACCAACTGAGCCACCCAGGTGCCCCCCAATATTTAATTTTTTTAAAGTAATCTCTATACCCAGTGTGGGGCTCAAACTTAACAACCCCAAGATCAAGAGTTGCATGCTCCACTGACTAAGCCAGCCAGGCTCCCCTTAAACTTGTATTTTTATTTATTTATTTATTTTTAAATTTTTTTTTAAACGTTTATTTATTTTTTTGGGACAGAGAGAGACAGAGCATGAACGGGGGAGGGGCAGAGAGAGAGGGAGACACAGAATCAGAAACAGGCTCCAGGCTCTGAGCCATCAGCCCAGAGCCCGACGCGGGGCTCGAACTCACGGACCGGGAGATCGTGACCTGGCTGAAGTCGGACGCTTAACCGACTGCGCCACCCAGGCGCCCCTAAACTTGTATTTTTAAACAGTGGTTGAAAAAGAGAACTAAAGGCTTTGACTCGATGACACATGGTATGAATGAAATTATGCTATGTACTTAAAGAGAGGAAATTTGCATTTTGTTTTGTTTTTGAGGTTCGGACCAGCCTTCTTAAATGATAAGATTTAGTATTAAATGCAGTCAGTTTAAATACCATAACAAATGATCTGCAGCATAAACTTAAGTAAATATAGAAGCAGTTAAAGAAATTTGAATGTCAACTCTTAAATTTGTTTTGAAGGAAACAGAGGAAATGTGTGTGGTACTTATTTCTAATTTGCCTAATAAAGGATATTCTATAGAAGAAGTTTACAACCTAGTAAAACCATTTGGTGGTTTAAAGGATATTTTGATTTTATCATCTCATAAAAAGGTAAGCGTTGATAATAGCTGTTCATGTTGTCTGAAGCACATTTTGAAAATAAGCTCACAAAATGAAAAGAAAAGGGTTTAAAGGCAGCACCTCAAAATAATTAAGCCATCTCAACCTAAGGGATTTTTAAAATATAAAACATATCCCGTATTTTAGTGTTATTGTAATCTGACATAGTTTTTATGATGGGGAGGATGGCTTAATAAATGTGTCAAAATTTTGCCTAAAATTTTAGTCTAAATAAAATATTTTATCTTCAATATGTTAATGTAGTTTTATAATGACTTACAAACTTGCATAGCACTTTTTTACTAGTATTCCTGGTATTTTATCAATTGTACTCAAATGGGAAGTAACCATTCTCAGACAAAAATGTCATCAATACTTAGAATAACCTAGGTTATATTTGTGTTTCACGTTTTCAGGAATTAGTACATACTACTTTTGTAATTTCAAAACAAAATGTATTGTTAATAACTTGTGGAATGTACTTTACAAGAGGTGAGATTTTAGGAAAGTTTAATGGAAACACCACTCAGGTGATTAGAAGTGGTGTTCTTACATTAGAAAGGAGTTTGTGATCACTAGAGATCTTTGGAAGGTTATATATGTTTGATGGTAGTTGGAGCCAGTTTGCTTAAGAAAACGGAAGAGGAGAGTGAATGCAAATTACATGCAATTTCACATTATATTAAAAGTAGATTATTTGAATGTCTGCACACCTTTATAAATTACTGAAAACCAGTGAATTCTGCACTTATAAACAGGTGAACTTTATAATGTATAAATTATATTTCAATAAAACTTTTTGTTTAGAAACAATAAAAGGAAGGAGAGTTTTTGTTTTGTTTTGTTTTGTTTTTTGAGAGAGAGTATGTGTGAGCGAGGGAGGGGAAGAGGGACAGGTAGAGAATTTTAAGCAGTCTCCACGCCCAACACAGAGCCCAGTGTGGGACTCGATCTCACATCCATGAGATCATGATCTGAGCTGAAATCAAGAGTCGGATGCTTAACTGATTGAGCCACCCAGGCGTCCCAGGAATGATTTTTTAATAAAAGAATTTTTTAATGTGAGTACATTAAAATCGGGGGAAATTGTGGGAATCTGGAAATGAATAATTCAGATTCACACTTTGCATCATATACCAGAGTATGAGTAGATACTTTAAAATCAAATACAGAAAATCTAGACTTTTATCTGCCCAATTTTGATTAGAGTTGACTAGAGTTATTAACTATTGGGAGATTTAATACTTTTCTAGATATTATGTAGAAAAATACCAGTTTCAGTCATATAAACTTTTCAAACATTTGTGGTTTAAAATGAACATAAAGCAAGATGTAAATTAAAAACTAAAAATATTCTAATTATTGTAATAGGGAAACAAAGATTCATACCCACATTATGCTGTAAAATATTAAAAGTTCAATAAATAAAATGGCAAATGACCCAAAGAGATAATTCTTTAAAAAAAGAATTATAGGGGCACCTGGGTGGCTCAGTCGGTTAAGTGTCTGACTTTGGCTTAGGCCATGATCTCACAGTTCGTGAGTTCGAGCCCCGCGTGGGGCTCTGTGCTGACAGCTCAGAGCCTGGAGCCTGCTTCAGATTCTCTGTCTCCCTCTCTCTCTGCCCCTCCCCCACTCGCGCGCGCGCGCGCGCTCTCTCTCTCTCTCTCAAGAATAAATAAACATTAAAAAAAAAAAAAGAATTACAGCTGTGAACAAATACATGGAAGATTTCTATCTCATTAACTCCAAGACATGTAGAAGAATGTTCAGCCTATTCATTTAGCCAGGGATGAAAATTAAAACCAAAATGTGTGAAACTACGAATTTCACAATTAGGAAAACTGCAAAATCAAAAATAACATGGTAATTTGGTTCTTTCAATTCTCATATTTCTCATATTTTACCAACCATTAAATTTATTTACTTGAAAAATATTTATTAAATGTCTGCTATATGTTAGATACTACTCTAGGTACTAAGGATACAGTAATGAATAAGATAAATAAGATTTTCCTTAATATCATTTACCAGAATGTCCACTCTTATTTCTCTCTTTACTATTGCCTTATAAATGCAGTCATCCATTCCTTATGGTTGTAATATTGTGAGTCTGTTGGCCTCGCTTTTGAGGAATGCCTTTTTTTTTCTTTAAAACATTTACTAAGTTATTCAATTTATTTGACTCTTAAGTATTAAATCTTTTCAAGAAGAAGTAACTTAAATAAGAAATTTATTTTTTTGTTCTTGTAATTTCTATTTTAACAGGTATTTATGGAAGTAAATAGAAAATGTGCAGATTCTATGGTAAAATTTTATACCTGTTTTCCAATATCAATGGATGGAAATCAGCTCTCAATAAGTATGGTTCCTGAAAACATGAATATAAAAGATGAGGTAAATAATAGACTTGCCATCAGTTTTTCTACAAAATTATAAAATTTTTAAATTGGATTTATTGTAGTCTGTTAAGTGTTTCCTGGCTTGCTTCTTCAGGTTCATGTTTTTTTTGAACCATTGAGAAAGCTTCCTTTTCCTTCATAATCTCCCATTCCATTGTTTGAGAGTTACTTCCATATTGAGGGAATCCAACCCCTCATATATTTTAGAATCGAAAAAGAGTTGAAAACTATCTGTAGACAATATTCTTTTTTTTATGTTCGTTTATTTTGAGAGAGAGAGCACGCGTAAGCATGGGTGGGGTCAGGGCAGAGAGAGAGAGGGAGAGAGAATCCCAAGCAGGCTCCGTGCTGTCAGTGAAGAGCCCGACTTAGGGCTTGATCTCAGGAGCCATGAGATCATGACCTGAGCTGAAATCAAGAACAGGATGCCCAACCAAGAGCCACCCAGGTGCCTCGACAGCTCTCTGTTCGCGTGTTACTGCTGTTATCAGCCCTCCAGAGTAGAATCCCAGATGTTATTTTTGAGTTTTCTCTGGTTTCGCGTAATCTGTTTTGTATATTTTAAGTCATAAATATTTCTGGGGTTTATTCTCTCTTCATCCCATCCATCATTGCTTTGTTTCTTAAAAACTCCAACTAGGGGTGCCTCAGTGGCTCAGTTGGTTGATCGTTTGATTGTGATTGTGGCTCAGGTCATGGTTTGTGCGTTCGGGCCCTGCATTGGGCTCTGTGCTACCAGCATGGAACCTGCTTGGGATTTTCTCTCTCTTCCTCCTTCTGCCCCTCCCCACTTGTGCTGTCTCTCAAAATAAATAAACTTAAAAACAATTAAAAAACAAAAAACTCCAGGGGTGCTTGAGTGGCTCAGTTGGTTGAGTGACCGACTCTTGGTTTTGGCTCAAGTCATGATCTCATGGTTTGGGAGTTCACGTCCCGAGTTTGGCTCTGTGTTAGCAGTGCGGAGCCTGCTTGGGATTCTCTCTCTTTCCCTCTCTCTGTTACTCTCTCTCTTTCTTGATAAATAAGGAAAAACAACAGACCCAACAAAAGTAGTTCTTTATGTCTTCTAACTTTAGTTTTGTGTCTTAAAACCACAAAGTCATGAGACTGACATAAAATTCAAATCTGTCCAAATTCAACTGATGTAGAAACCCTTCACTGTTTCTCTGTGGCTTATAAGCATTTATTATTATCAACTGCTAAGAGGTAATATCAGTTATCTATTAGGAAACACAGTTATTAGAATCCCTGGAGGAAAGTGGAAATGGCATATAATTTGAGAGAGCCTTCTGTTGAAAATCACTCTGATGTAATTGGTGGTATTGTTTTATATGTGTCAGTATTCTTTTGAAAAGAAAAAACAAAGTTAAGAACCAGAGCCTCTGAAGATAAAGTTCCATTAGCTTTCCTTTCCCAGCTTTGACATTTTTGTCTTATACCAGTCTTAGCCTTCTTTATAATTCAACAGCACCAAATAACTGTGCATTTAATACTCTTCACTATTTGTTTTTACTAGCCTAAATTTCTTTTTTTTTTCTTTCTTTCTTTCCTTTTTTTTTTTTTTTTTTTTTGGCATTTTTTCTTTTTGAGAGAAAGTATGTGAGTTGCATGTGGGGTGGGGGCAAAGGGCAAAAGAATCCCAATCAGATTTCACGCCCATGATGGAGCCAGAAGCGGGGCTTGATCCCACCACTATGAGATCATGACCTTAGCCAAAATCCGACACTTAACCAACTGAGCCACCCAGGTACCCCTACTAGCCTATATTTCTGTTCTTCCTTATCCCCTACTTTGCTTATACACTTTTCACTTTGTAATTTGAATTCTCTTACTGTCTGCTAAAGTAATTCTCTTATTCCTTGTATGTGAAGTTGAATGTCCTCCCTGACACCACCTTATTAACCTTTGATGTACTTATGGGAATAGGAAGAATTGAAATGTATTAAGGTGGGACTTGACTAATTTGCTTAGGAAGAAGGAAAAATTTTTAGAAGGAAAAAATTTAGAAAAATTTTTAGAAGGAAAATTTTTTAAAAAACTTTTGCTGACTTCTTATTTTATGAAATAATTCTTAATATTTATTCATATAGGTTATTTTATTATAAATCTTGACTAAATATATGAATGAGGAAGACTTATACTTTCCCTCTATTTTGCCTTTTCTAGGAAGCTATATTTACAACCTTGATTAAAGAAAATGACCCAGAGGTAATATTTGCTTTTAAATACCTTATTACACTTGTTTAATTGGTAGAAATATTGGTTATTCACCTGTAATAAATAAAACCTTAGTACTTATTTTAAAATATTGAGGTGATGGAAGTATACAATGGGTTTTATCTTGGTTCAAATAAAAAGTAAAGGGTCATGGTAGTCCGTAATGTGAAATACTTTCCAGATATTGGAGCCATATTAAGTGGGTTAGGTATATTAAGTGTTGGGTAAATATTATGTTGATAAAAGAAAGATTATACTTCGTGTTTCAGTATATTGTTTCATTGATTACTGAAATCTAAAACTAAGATCTCACTGTCTTCACTCACATAGTCATTTTCTTACCTTTGGGAGAGAACATCATCTGACCTCAGAAAAATTAAATTTACTATTAATCTGTGTTTTACAGTTTAATAATTCATACTTTTTCTGTGTTCTCTCTTAAAAAACTACAGGCAAATGTAGATAAAATTTACAATCGATTTGTACATCTTGATAACTTACCAGAAGATGGACTTCAGTGTGTACTTTGTGTTGGACTTCAGTTTGGAAAAGTAGATCACCACGTATTCATGAGTAACAAAAACAAGGTAAGGAGGTTCCTTCTGTTTTAGCTGTGTGTTCTGTAGAGAATATATGACTAAACCCTGTACTCTTAAGGATTTGCTGTTTGTTTGTTTGTTTGTTTGTTTGTTTGTTTGTTTGTTTGTTTGTTTTGAGAGATTTGGAGTGTGAACAGGGGAGGAGCAGAGAGAGAGAGAGAGAGAGAGAGTGGGGAAAGAGAATCCTGAGCAGGCTCCACACTGTCACTGCAGAGCCCAACACAGGGCTCAAACTCATGAACTGTGAAATCATGACCTAGGCTGAAATTAAGAGTCAGATACTTAACCAACTGAGCCACTCATGTGCCACATGGGTTTGCAACTTATAATTCATCTTCTGAACTGAAGCGCCTATAAACATTATTTAATTTCTTAGCAGTACTGATAGATCAGCATATTTTTTCCTATGCTGTGATAAGAAGCAAGAGATGATCACTTTCTCCTCAGAACTCCTAGCTTTTTGTTTCTGTTTTTGTTCTTTAATGTTTATTTATTTTTGAGAGAGAGGGAGAGGCAGAGAGAGAGGGAGACACAAAATCCAAAGCAGGTTCCAGGCTCTGAGCTGTCAGATTTGAGTTCATCTAAGCTTAATTACTTTTGTGACCTTGGCTGAGTTGGCTTACACTTTTAGTTCTCATCTAAGTTGAAAAAAGGTGTTGCCAGATAGTTCCTAAAGTCCCTTCCAGCCATAAAACACATAGAGAGTTGTTTGGTCTCTTTGTTTAGTTATATGGGAAGAAGTATAAAATGATCAGCCCTTTACTTCATGGTTTGGCTTCCTTCCTTAAAAGAAATTGTTAACCTCATTACATTTGCTGTGCCCTCTGTGTTTAATATTTAATTCAGATACTTAAAATTAGATTTTTAATAGAAAAATGTTTATTTTTGCGAGAGAGAGAGAGAGAGAGAGCGAGAGCGCCTGCGCCTAAGAGAAGGAGGGGGCAGAGAGAGAAAGGGAGATAGAGAATCTGAAGCAGGCTCCAGGCTCAGAGTTGTCAGTGCAGAGCCTGATGCAGGACTCAAACTTTTGAACTGTGAGATCATGACCTGAGCTGAAGTTAGATACTTAACTGACTGAGCCATCCAGGTACCCCTAAAACTAGATTTTGGTGAAGCATGTATTACCTAGAAAAGTAGCATTTCATATCAGAGTTGAGAATGTTTACTTCTGAAAAAGCACCTAATTCATCAAAAGTAGATGACTAATTTTGACATGCTTCTGATATATAGAGCATGTTAGATTGTTAAATACTTTAGAAATAGTGTGACATAGGGAAGGGAGATGACAGATGGCATAAGGAATTTTGATAAGTTTAATTTTTTGGTAGGTATTCTTTAAATTTCTTAAAAATACCTATCATACTTTGCCTTGATTTTGCAACATTTTAAGGATTGTTTTCTCTTGTTTCCTTTGAAATGAAGATTTACCTCACCTTTGAAATCACATTTGAAGTCTGGAAGAAAAATATATCCATTCTTTATAAAAATTAGAAAGCGTTTTTGTTGAACTTTTTGTTTTAACCCTGTTTAAGTTTCCATTCAGTGGCATTAAGTATATTCATGTTGTTAAACAACCATTACCACTATCCATCTCCAGAACTTTTTTTATCTTCCCAAACTGAAACCCTCTGTCCATTAAACAGTAATTCCTCCTTCCCCCTCTTCCTAGCCGCTGACAACCACCATTCTACCATTTTACTTTCTATCTCTATGAATTTGACTACTCTAGCTACCTCACATAAGTGGAATCATACAATATTTGATCTTTTGCGATTGGCTTATTTCACTTAGTCTAAAGTCTTCAGAATATATTGTAACATGTCAGAATTCCCTTCCTTTTTAAAGCTGAATAATAGGGGCATTTGGATGGTTTAGTTGGTTAAGCTTCTGACTCTCTTGGTTTCAGCTCAGTCATGATCTCATGGTTTTGTGGGTGTGAGCACTGCATCCAGCTCCAGGCTGATGGTGCAGAGACTGCTTGGAATTTCCCTCTCTCTCTCTCTCTCTGCCTGCGTCTCTCTCTCTCTCTCTCTCTCTCTCTCTCTCTGTCTGTCTCTCAAAATAAGTAAATAAAAATAAATAAAGCTGAATAATAATCCATTGTTTGCATATATCACATTTTCATTTATCTACTCATCCGTTGATAGATACTAGGTTGCTTCCACCTTTTGACTATTGTGAATAACACTGATATGAACATGGGCATACAGATGTCCATTAGAGTCCCTGCTTACAATTATTTTGGGTGGAATTCCTGGATCATATGGCAATTGTACTTTAGGTCTTTTTTGTTTTGTTTTGTTTTGTTTTGTTTTGTTTTTAGGAGCTACTTAATATTTTTTTTTTATCTTCTCCAAAGGCAATTCTTCAGTTAGATAGCCCTGAATCTGCTCAGTCAATGTATAGCTTTCTGAAACAAAATCCACAGGGCATAAACTACCGGACCGCGAGATCGTGACCTGGCTGAAGTCGGACGCTTAACCGACTGCGCCACCCAGGCGCCCCAAGAATTATTCTTGAAGAGTAGTCAAATTGGTACTAAGTTTAGACATTCTTTTAAAAATTTGTGTTGCGGGGCGCCTGGGTGGTGCAGTCGGTTAAGCGTCCGACTTCAGCCAGGTCACGATCTCGCGGTCCGTGAGTTCGAGCCCCGCGTCAGGCTCTGGGCTGATGGCTCAGAGCCTGGAGCCTGTTTCCGATTCTGTGTCTCCCTCTCTGTCTGCCCCTCCCCCGTTCATGCTCTGTCTCTCTCTGTCCCAAAAATGAATAAACCTTGAAAAAAAAATTAAAAAAAAAAAATTTGTGTTGCAATCACTACTCCAATTGTTATGGTTTATGGCGGAGTATAAATTTGTTTAAATTACAGTCATGTGAAGTAATTTTGAAAAATGTAACATATTCATTCTGATACTTATTACAGACATATGTGTAGAATGATTCTATATATGTAACATGGTCATAATTATCTCCAGAATGCAGAGTCTACTTTTGGTCCATTTTGGCCTTTTGCTGATAGAAATTTGTTTATTTCTTTCTTTAATTTATTTTAAACTCTTGTATAAGACATAAGAGTTACAGATTATTGGCTTACACAGTAATAATACATGTATGAAAATGATAGTAAACCACCTTTGAAAGAATTAACACGTTTTCTGTAATAGTTTCATTGTATCTCCATAATAGGAGGTAAATAATAGGGTCTATATTTGGTGTCTGCATGTTTTTTTTTTGTTTATTAATGTGCCAAAAATCATATGCTAGCTCAAGAAAAAATACAGTTCCACCATCTAAAGCCAAATTAAATAGAGCATCTATGAGTAAATGTATCATGTGGTAGGTACTGATTTCAGGCAAATATGTGTGACTTGTTTAAGCTGATAATTTTAGAAACAATTTTAAAAGTTTTTAGCATCTCAACAGAATATTGTATTTTTAAAATTTTGTGTTTTTGATATTTTTGTTATGACATTGTTCAGAATTATAGTAAACATTGATGATATAGAAATTATTTTTCTAAAAATACAGTCCCACATCTTTAGACCTAAAAAAAATGAAGTGAAAATTATCAAAAACCTCTACCTGAATTGATACTTTACTTCCCAAGCTTTTATTCAGAACCTTATTGTTATGGCTTATTAAATTGAAGAACATAAGAACAAAGACTTAGCTCCACCACTGATAAGACAGCCTTGTAGTCTTGAGCATGTCACATAGTGTCCATTATATTGATTCAAAAAATGGTAAATTGATGGTTGAAGCAGGTAGACTAATTTCAAGGTATTGTAATAGTCTCTATGAGAAGTAATGAAAGCTAGGCTAGGAAATGGAAATAAATCATGTCCCCAAATGTTTTAAATGACAGGTTTTAATTTACTGCGTTTATAATGAGTTAATTAAGTAATTAGCATCCTTGTATTACCCTCTTCAACACCCTCCCCCTTTCATTTTTGTTACCTGTAATGTTACTTACACAGGTGTTCGTTACAACCTTTAGTTATGTAACTATAGTTACCCCTGCATATGAAGCATGAAGGCTTAATTCTAAGTACTAAAAACTAATATCTGTATTTTTGATATCTTGATTAAGAAGATACTACAGGGGTGCCTGGGTGGCTCAGTTGGTTAAGCGTCCAACTTCGGCTCAGGTCATAGTCTCACAGTTTGTGGGTTCGAGCCCCTCATCGGGCTCTGTGCTGACAGCTCAGAGCCCGGAGCCTGTTTCAGATTCTGTGTCTCCCTCTCTCTATGCCCCTCCCCCACTCACGCTTTGTCTCCCTCTGTCTCAAAAATAAAAATTTAAAAATTTAAAAAAAATTAAAAAAAAAAGATACTAACTACAGAATTCAGTAGTATCAGGGTGGTTGTGTAAAGAAGGAAATACAGTAGAGGTGACTTTTTTATATTCCCATTCATTTTTCAAAATGATGCTGTGTTTTTGTTTTCTTCAGTATTTGGATTATTTCCTGTAGTTTGGGGTAGGGGTTGTTATTGAGAGGAAAAAGGATGATTGTCTTCATGTTCTTCAGGTTATATAACTTAATTACTATTTGTTGAATAGAATCTACTCTTGTTAGAGCGATTCTTCTGACTTTTCTAAATTTATGGCCATTTGTTTTGTAAAGCAACTATATGTTTATTTTTATTGCTCTTCTGAGTTACTTCTGTTATTTCTTGGATTCTGTATCTCCTCCTCTCTTGGATTGCTTTTCTGTTTGCTAGATTACATCATCAAATAATTTTCCGCAGAAATTGTGTGTGGACAGTAAACACTCTGAATCCCTGCATATTTGAAATTGACTTTATTTTGCTTTTACATATTTCATTGATAGGTTTTCTAGATGGAGAATTCTGTGCTCCTCACCTGTACTGGTTTTTTTTTTTTTTTTTTTTTAAGTATTCTGTACAATTAGCATGGGACTTGAACTCACAACCCCAAGATCAAGAGTCACATGCTCTACTGACTGAGCCAGCCAGGTGCCCCTTAACCTGTATTGTTAAGGAGAAAGCTGATTCTAATCATATCTCCTGTATTTTTTTCTTTTGAAGGCTTTCAGCTTTTATTTATTTATTCATTAAGCAGATATTTATCTAATGCCTTATCTATATGCCAGCATTATTTTAGGTGTTGGAATACATGGATAAACAGAGGAGTTGATGTCCCAAGTCCTCAAGGAGCTTATATTTTAATAGAGAAGACAGACTATAAATCTATAAATCTCTGTATGTGTGTATGTGTCTGTCTGTCTCTCTCACTCACGCACGCGCGCGCACACACACACACACACACACGTCAAGTGGTAAAAAATGCTGTGAAGTGCTATGGAGACCAATCAAGATAAAAAGGTAGAGAGAGTAATAGATGGGGGCGAATGTGTATTTTAGGGTTGTCAAGGATAGCCCCTCTGAGGAATAGTTATTTGAGACCTGAACAAAGTAAGAGAGCAAGCTCTACAAATAAAAAGGAAGGAGGGTTTTTAAAGAAGAAGAGCAAGTGCTAAGTAAGTACTTAAGGACAGAGTTGATGATTCATGAACTCCAAGGAGGATCAGTATGGCTAGCTAGCACAGTGAAGAAGGTTTTATCTTGGTTTGGGACTTCATATATCCTGCTTAGAGCACTCAGTGAATTTATAAAGATTGGTGTGTTCCTTTTCTCGAAGAAAGTCTTCCTCTTTAGTGTTCTGTCTTTCTGAAAGTAACACCTGTAACTGATTTTGTGGATTTCAGTTGGAACTGATTGCAGTTCTCTGAAATATCTTCAGTCTGTTTTGTATGCTTATCTTGCTTTCTGTTGTGCATTTGTTTTTCTCATTTATGAATAAAGAAGCAAGCTAGCTAATAAGGGTATCTGGTATAGATTTCCTCTACTATCATACAGCTCCCCTCCCCCCACCCCCCGTAAGTTTCTCCTGTGAATGGGAAGATTGATTGTAAATACTGTGATTGGCGCTTATCAACTCTCATCTTTATGTATCATTACACTGTAGACTGCCCAGCAAGATGCCCCAGTAACGAAGGCCTGGGACTCCCATCATCCACACCAGGAATCCTCTCTAGGCACATTGTTCAATTTCTTTAAAGTATAATTTTCACTTTTTAATCTGACAAAATACAGAGAAAGATAATTCCCCACTCAGAATACATATGATTCCCACAGAAAAAGCATATAGCTAGTATGTATAAGCTCTAAAGAGCAGACAGTTTTTGCTATTTTGTTCACTGATGTGTCCAGTGCCTGGACCAGTGTTGGTTACATAGGCGTCGAATGTTATCTATCTGTTTATAAACTTCCTTTATTTTTGAGAGAGAGAGAGCGCGCGCATATGTGGGAGGTGGAGGGAAGGGACAGAGAGAGAGGAGGACAGGATCTGAAGTGGGCTTTGCCCAGACAGCAGAGATCCCAGTGCGGGGCTCAAACTCACAAACATGAGATCATGCATGACCTGAGCCACCCAGGTGCCCCCATACGCATTGAATTTTAATTTCCATTTTGGGCCCTAGGACATTATTTTTTAGTGGTTTAGATACATGTTTAAAAGGATTATTGTTAAATTTTGCTCAGCACTTCTAGGTGTTTTGAATAGAAAGCCTTTTTTTTTTTTTAAGATTGTTTTTACTATTATTTAAATCCAAGTTAGTTAACATGTAGTGTAATAATGATTTCAGCAATAGAATTTAGTGATTCACCACTTATAGCAACACAGCGTGCATCCCAACAAGTGCCCTCCTTTATTATTATTATTATTATTATTATTATTATTATTTAGTGCTTATTTTTGAGAGAGAGAGAGAGAGAGAGAGAGAGAGCACCAGCAGGGGAGGGACAGAGAGAGAGGGAGACAGAGAATCTGAAGCAGGTTCCAGGCTCTGAGCTGTCAGTGCAGAGCCCGATGCGGGGCTCAAACCCATGAACAGTGAGCTCATGACCTGAGCTGAAGTTGGACACTCACTCGACTGAGCCACCCAGGCACCCCTCAACAAATGCCCTCCTTAATGCCCATTGCCCATTTAGCCCTTCGCCCCACCCAACACCCTTCCAGCCATCCTCAGTAGTCTTTCTTATAAGTAGTTTTTTTATTTTTTTATTTTTATTTTTATTTATTTATTTTTTTTTTAATTTTTTTTTTCAACATTTATTTATTTTTGGGACAGAGAGAGACAGAGCATGAATGGGGGAGGGGCAGAGAGAGAGGGAGACACAGAATCGGAAACAGGCTCCAGGCTCTGAGCCATCAGCCCAGAGCCCGACGCGGGGCTCGAACTCACGGACCGCGAGATCGTGACCTGGCTGAAGTCGGACGCTTAACCGACTGCGCCACCCAGGCGCCCCATAAGTAGTTTTTTTAAATAATAATTGCACAATGAAGATGTTGATGGTTTTTATTCTTTTAAAAAAGACAGTAATTCTAAGCTGTTAAAAAAGTTTCTTGTTTGTATCAACATTGAGACTTTCTGTGATTAATTTCTGTGTGTCACTTATTCTCTATAACCTACCTTAGGGCTTTTTAATGAGAAGAAAATTCTAGAATCTGAAATTTAAAGTGGACACTGAAAACTGTTTTATTTTTAAGATGTGGTCTTGCTTCTTTAGCTTAGATTTTAAGAACTGAAAACATTGCACTGATGGGTTAAATATTTAAAATCCGGTAGAATAACCTCTAATGAAATGTGGAATTGTGTTACAGGCCCAAGCTGACAAAGACCCAGAACTAGGAAAAGAAAGGTATGTTGCTTTAAGTTTGCTGTCATTTTTGCATAGTATTTAATTACTGAATTTTGTTTCTGCCTTTTATAGTAATTGTTCACTTGTAGCAAAAAGTTTGTATCTTCCATGTCCATTTTGTGTTATATATATGAAGTGTGGGGCAGTTTGTGTGTCTTTGGTTTGTTTTTTGTTTTTTGTTTTTTTTCTGACTGTTTGAGGGAGCATTGTTTTGTTTTTTAGTCTCTGTAAGGTATTTACTGATACTTTAGAAAAACCAAATATGTAAACTCAGTTTGAATTAAATACACAAATGACTTCTTTATGAAATGTTTCGCGAGGACTCTTGAACAACTCAATTTCTGTTATCAGTATTCTTGTTAGATTTTTCTATCCCAGAAAGGTTAAACACAGTAATAAAATTTCATTGACTTAAAACCAAAAAAGAAAGTATTCAGTATGTATTTTGATACTTTTTGAAAACAACTGGGGGAAGGATATTTATTATAAAACAAAATAATGTTTGAAAACTTGGATAAAAGATGAAAACTTGTTCTTATGTGTTTACACAAACTAGTGACTCCCAGTCTTATTTAGACTATATATAATACACCCTCTTCTTAGTAACTTTCTCACCCTTATAACCACTTTTGCCTCAACCAATTAATTACCTTCGTTTTATTGCTTTTCATTGAGAATCACTGATTTAGAATTCTTTTCCCTTAATACTAAGTGATTTGCCCTTGTTAGAGTCTTTATATTAAGAGCTTATCAGTTTGAAACAGCATTTTGAAAGTGTTTAAATATGGATATTTTGTTTTATTTGATGCACTAATTTTAAGATCATGACCTGAGCTGAAGTGGGATGCTCACCTGACTGAGCCACTCAGTTTGTCTTAGTAATTCTTACATGAGGCTTTTAAATGATAAAGGTAATTAAGAGTACTTCAAAATATGTTGGTAACTTTAAGCAATTAGGTTTGCTGTACGTGTCAGTACAGACTTTTTTAAATTGTACATTATTAATACCAATTATGTTCACATGTCTAAGACGTAATGCCAACAGCACTGTTGAATATAGAAGCCCACAAAGGGCTTATTGAGTGGTAATGCCACAGGTAATATAGGTAGACCTACAGTTTGGCCACACTAACTCCGGCTGATTAAGTGAGTAGGCTCTTCCAAAAATTCATCTTATGTATTTCATTTGACATAGTTTCAGGTCTGCACAAACAACTATTGTCTGTGTTCTGGTCATTTTTTCCTCTCATTATTTGACTCACCTTTTAAAATCTAAGATCTTTTTTTTTTTTTTTTAATTTTTTTTAATGTTTATTTTATTTTTGAGAGAGAGAGAGAGAGAGAGAGAGATTGAGAGACAGAGTGTAAAACAGTAGAGGGGCAGAGAGGGAGGGAGACACAGAATCGGAAGAATGCTTCAGGCTCTGAGCTGTCAGCACAAAGCCGGACACAGGGCTCGAATGCACACAGACTGTAAGATCATGACCTGAGCTGAAGTCGGATGCTCAACCCACTGAACCACCCAGGCGCCCCTATCCTTTCTTTTTTTTTGTTTATTTTTGAGAGAAAGAGAGAGTGAGCCTGTGTGCGTGTGAGCAGGGGAGGGGCAGAGAGAGGGGGATAGAGAGAGAATCCCATGTGGTCTCTTTGTCAGCCAGAGCCTGGTGTGGGGCTCAAACCCACCAAACATGAGATCATAACCTGAGCTGAAATAGAGTCAGACGCTCAACCAGCTGAGCTACCCAGGCACCCCAAAGATACTTCTTAATGAATTTACAGATAGTTGTTTAATCTTATAAAATTCACTTTTAAAATTCTAGTACTAATAACTTAATTTCCATTTTGCAGTTTTTTCTGACTTACATATATTAGAGAAAAAGACGTGGGATGGGGCCTGAATACTTCACATTTCTTTATCGGAGTAAAGTGATCCTGGGAAAATACTGGTGCTTGTGTTGTTTTTGTTTTTGAGGCACTTTTGAGTGCTAATTCATCTTGATGTGATTATTTTGTTTATAATTAGTTTAATGTATTTAAATGTATTTCCTATTTTTAAAGGAAATCTATGGATGTATTAATAATATTCTACATTTTGCCTGTTCTCATTCCCTCCCATGTAAACATTATTTACTTACCATGTGATTAAGGATGCAAGGTGCAGTTTTCACCAACTCGTTAATAATGTTGGGAACTTCCCATTGGCCATCTGAAATGTAAATACTAATCTTCAGTATTGTTAAATTGTAGTCTAAAGTTTCTCGCAAAGTGTAGGGTATGGTATTAACCTTTGTTCTCATGTCCAGCTTTTTTTGAGTTTTGAAACCCTAGTATTTATGGGGAGGTGGAAGTGGGACAGGGTTGGAAATTAGATACCTATATCCTGGATGTCTTTCCTATTTCTTTTTTGTGCCATTTCCCAAAACTTGACTGTGTATTCCTTTGATCTTTAAAAGACTTTTTTTTTTTTTTTTATACTTCGGTGTTAATAATTCATTTATTTGACATCTCAAATTGACTCTCCAGGCTAACTTGATGAACACGGAGGCTTTTTCCCATATTAGCCAGAAAACTAGATGTTAGTTTTTGGTAAATGAAATCTATGAAGAAAGCACTATAATTTTAAAAGACAAATGCATATAAACAAACGTCATATTAAGCCATTTTTCTAAGTAGGTCCATGCTCTCTGAAGTATGGAACTGCATAGTGATTTGTACAAAAGATAATAGCTTTTTTTTGACCAACCTTAAATATGGTAAAGTGGAAGGACTTACTATGCCCTAGAGCCAGGAATCAACGTCTCCATTGTTTTCCTTTAGCTCAGTAGATTTGGTGTTTTTGTATAGCTCTAATTTATAAAGCCTTTAGTGTTAATGGTTTAGTTCTATAATGAGGCAGGAGTTTGAATTTAATCTTCTTTATTGAAAATGAGTCTTGTAAATTAAAAATGAAAGCTTACATTTTGAGAAGCAATTATTTACATAACTGCTATAACTAAATGTCACAAGTTTTTCTTATCTTTGTCATATTTGTACTTGGCCACAAGTTTTATTTTGACTAGTTCGAAGGATTTGGAACCCTTAAAATCAGCCATTGGTATTTTTGAATATAAGGGATGTGAATTATTTCAAATAAAAAGTTTTAAACCCTTTCAGCATATAAAGGAAGGTTATATAAATGAATAGAATACATACGGATTAAAGTCTGTCGTTACTGACTTTTGAACTTAAATTTCTCCAATTCTGCCTTTATAACTTTTCATCAAGAGGTGTTTCTCCAATCTCTTAGAACATTTTTTTCCTTTGGAAGTTTAAACTTAACCATCTTTGGAGGGGAAGACCAGTTTATTGTCAAATGATTAGACCCTGATACGGTAGCACTTACTTTTTCCAAAGTTTTGAAATGTTAACATCTCAGGACACTGATATGCCTCATCTTGCATTAACTAAAAGATATATAGCCATCCTCTGAGAATCGTATCGAGCGGATGTCTCATCCCCTCCTTCCTTGAAAACTAGGAGGAAAAAAACCAATATTCTTTACTATGAGGTATTGAAATGGCATTCTGATGTCTTCCTCTAATGTGCTGCTTCTAATGTAATTAAGTGGATGTATTTGTTACATTTTATTTGTTTTGATAGCATTGCTTCGGAAACTCAGATTTTCCTTGTCATTCTTCAAGATAACCTCTGATCTATGGAACATTAATATAAAAAGTTATTCTGTCTCTGTCTCAGTGAAAGAAGTTGAATTACAGAATCACATACACTTTTGTTTACTTTGGATTTAGGAAGACCATAGTGAAAAAAGATCAGTTATATATACTTGCCATGCATTTTCTCCATTTCTTCTGAACAATTTTACTTAAGACTTCAGAATTCTAAATTATTCTTCTGTAACTGGAAAGATTTCTTTTAATATATACTTTCTCACTCAGGTAGCCAAAGGCACATACTTTATGTTAAGATGATTCTATTAGTTTTACCTCTAACTTTGAATCCAATAGAGTATTTAAAAGATACTTCCAAAGAAAGATTTCTTTTACGTATTACTATTAGTAATAAATACAGTTCTTGGGAAAAACAAATCTGTCTCACATCCAAAAAAAAAAAAAAAAAAAGAGTTGACATGGTTAAGAGTATAGCCTTCTCCCTACCAGTTTCTTTTTCTGTTCATTTTAGGTAAGATTCACTTAAAATTTTAAATTTCAATGCATGGATTATTAGTTTCATTGTAGAACTATACATATATTTTATTATTTTAGTTAGCACTCTTGGGAAGATCTTAATAATTTGAGATGTCTCACATTCAGCCTTCTCATGTCTAGTGCAAACGTGACCCAGAAGGAAAAAAATTGGTTAGAAGAATTTTATCAGTGATCATAGTTTTGTCATTATTTCCTTTGAACTAAGAAGAATTCTTCAATGCAATGGAGGATCTTTTTAAAAATTTTATATTGTTTACATATTTATGTCAAAACATCTTTACCATTTTAATGCCTATTGGCTGGATTTCCCAGTGCTTATTACTAATGCATCAGGAAGTCTTAACAATTGGCATCAACAGGATTATTTATAATGGTTGAATTCTCATCATAGTTTGATTTTTGTTTGTGTTTTTGTTTGTGTTCTTTTTTTTTGTTTGTTTTTAAATACTTTTAGCCCTGACTTGAAAAACAGTCCAGTTGATGAAAGTGAGGTGCAAACAGCAGCTGATAGTCCCTCTGTTAAACCTAGTGAGGTTGAAGAAGAAACTGTTCCCAACATTGAAACAGAAACTTCTGTACAGCTGGAAGAACCTTGTGTGGAAGAACCTGAAAAAGCACTATGTGACTCTGACTTTGCTATTGAAACGTTGGAAGTTGAAACTCAAGGAGAAGAGGTCAAAGTGGAAATTCCTCTTGTAGCATCCACTCCAATCAGTATTGAATTATTTACTGAAAATGTAGAGGAGTGTGTTTTAAATCAGCAGGTGTATACCAGTGACTTTGAGAAGGAAGAGGCAGAAATTATTAACCCTGAAACAGAATTATCTACATCCGACAGTGCATTTATAGAAGAAAGGAACATTAAAGGAATTCTAGAAGAATCTCCAGCTGAAGCAGAAGATTTCTTTTCTGGGATTACACAGTCTATGATAGAAGCTGTAGCTGAAGTGGATAAACACGAAACTGTTTCAGAAATAGTACCATCTCCTTGTGTTGTGGCCTTAGTACCTGGAATTGCCATTGGGGATGAGAAAGCAGTGAACAAAAAGGGAATTCCTGAGAAAAGTAACATGGATGAAAAGGAGAAGAATGAAATTAATAGTAAGGAAACCAGAATGGATCTGCAGATAGGAACAGAAAAGGCTGAAAGGAATGATGCTAGGATGGTTGCAGAGAAGTTGGAAAAGATTATGGCAGCAGTGAAAGAAAAGCCTGCAGAAAATGCTGTGATCAAGGCATACCCAAATAAAGGAATGGGTCAGGCCAACAAGCCTGATGAAACTAGTAAAACTAGTATGTTGGCTGTATCACATACATCTAGCACTAAATCAAGCATCAAGGCTGGTATGGTCTCCTCTCCAAAGGCAAAAGCTACAGCTTCAAAATCTGAAAACCAGAAAAGTTTTCTAAAATCTGTACTCAGAGATCAAATAAATGCTGAAAAGAAACTTTCAGCCAAGGAATTGGGTCTCCTTAAACCTCCAAGTGCCAGGTCAGGCTTGGCTGAAAACAGCAATAAATTCAGACCCACTCATTGCGGTGTTACCAGAGGAGGCAGTGGAAGGATCTCAGCCCTGCAAGGCAAGGATTCTAAACTGGATTACAGGGATATTACAAAACAATCTCAGGAAACAGAGGCTAGACCTTCCATCATGAAACGGGATGACAGCAACAATAAGGTGAGGAGGGTAGGAAGAATGGCTCAGTGTATCTTTGAAATAGCTCTGCTGTGGTAGCTTTGGAGTAGGAGATGTAATCTTGTTTTGTACTTTCATCTCCTCACTCCACTCCCAAACTCAGTTTCTCTTAATGATTCCATCGAGTTAAGCCAATAGACATTTAAATAATAAGCTCAAGTTAGTAATTTATTAACAGGTTTGAAAAACGTTATTTGGATAAAATGTGGTCAGAAATATAACTGGTTTAAAAAAAATTCTGCAGTGAATGTCCTGAGGTGACTTAGCACTCTGCTTCTGAATGGGAAATGGTTTTCTTTCTTAAAGTGAAGCTTCCTTTATCAGCTTACTGATTGCCCAACTTAGACATTGTGGCTATAGGGAAGAAAAGATCAATAAAACAATTTAACTACAGCTTACAGAGATGATGCCTGTACTGTTAAATGATTGTTGACTTAGTGTGCTATACCTGTTAACTGTTTGCATAATTAAATGTGTTTGGATATTGTTTGGTGTTTGGATTCTTCTTTTTTTTTTTTTTTTTTTTTTTAAGGACATTAATAACATAGTTGTAAATTCTGTTTTTCTATATTTTTTTACTTAATGTTTCAGACTTTGGCTGGGCAAAACACTAAGAATCCTAAAGGCACCACTGGTAGAAGTTCCAAATCTAAAGAGGTAAGAAACAAGTCACTAACATTAAGCCTTCTATTCTGTCCTTCAACAGAAGAGTTCATCTGTGGTGTAACTTGTGTCTCTCCTGTAATAGTCAATTTGATACAGAGCAAGGGACAGGAATGAGATACCTTTTTTTTGACCCTACCACCAATTTGTTTTTTGACCTTGAGCTAGGCTAAATGGTTTGTGTTCATGGTGCAGGGCAAAAAATTAGGCAGGGGTAGGAAGGGAATTAAAATAGGAAAATCCCTCCAATCTTATATTGATGGCAATAGGTTATAAACAGAATAAAAGCACATGTGTAAAGAAGACCGGTGTTTGACTGGGGTCCTTGCCATTCTGTGGAACTTGCAAACAGGTCTTCCTTTTGAGATGCTCAATTTAACCTAACTGGATGGGCTCTTAAGATTTACTTTCCTGGTACTAAGTTCTACTGCCAAATAAATGTCTTCTTTTTTTGTTGTTGTTGTTTGATATTTTAGGTTTCCTACCATGCATAAAATATTTTTTTAGTCATTTTATTTTTTTCCCCTGGTAAGGGATGATTTGGGGCCTATTTTATTCAGGGCAAGGAAAAATGGTAGTAGTTTAAGAAGCAGAAGTAAGGATAACAGTTATTTCTGTTGTCTTAAAAAGTGGGTATTACAAATGCTTACATGTCCGTTCCCTCCCCCACCCCCTTACTGAGTGTATGTTCTAATGTCATTATATATACTAATAATTGATTGTTGATAGCATACTAAGTTTGTAGGAGGCCTGTTGGGGATTATTTTCTTTAGTATTAACACCATTTTTCAAATTACAGATACTGTTTTTTCTCTCTCTCTCTGTCTCTCTCTGTCTCTTTTAGAATTAAATTTTGAGAGAGAGAAAGTGTGTGCAAGTGAAGGAGGGTCAGAGGGAGAGACGGACAGGATCCCAAGCAGGCTCCATGCTCAGTGTGGAGCCAACATGGGGCTTGATCTCACAATCATAAGATCATGACTTGAGCTGAAATCAAGAGTTGAACGCCTAATCGGCTGAACCACCCAGGCGTCCCACATACTGTTGTTGTTGTTGTTTTTTTTTTTCCCAAATGCAGTTGTATTTGACATTAAGTCTTACTTAGTAAGAATAAACTTCATATTAATGCTGTATATCTTAATTGGTTAATGGAGCAATCTACTTAGCTATTTACTTTCCGGCTACATTTGAGGTACTTTTAATAGTCCAATAAGTCTCCTAGAACACTTGTTAGGTAACATTTAACAGGGTACAGTAAATTCTTTACATTGTTGTAATTGGTAAGTGCTTTTAAGTGTAGTATTTTTGTGTTTCATATTTCAAAACTCGTATATCACTTAGGAAATAATTGTAATCTTATTGAAATTAAGTAAAGGTCAAAGTAGGTTGATCTTGTTAAGATTTTACCTTTGGTGTTGTTTATTATGAATTAGAGCTGATTTGTTTGTGGGGCTTTAAAAACTAGCTTCTCTCAGCCTATAGGAAATTTCTTTGCCCTGAAATTCTCACAGATGATCCTTCATGCACATTTACTGAGATTATTTGGAACCTGACCAGTTGTTGGTATCTGGTTCTGTTCACAGTTCTGTGATTTTTTTTTTTTAATCTTTTCAACAGGAATCATCATTTCCATTTAATTTGGATGAATTTGTCACAGTAGATGAGGTTATAGAAGAAGTAAATCCTTTTCAAGCCAAGCAGAACCCACTAAAGGGAAAAAGAAAAGAAGCTCTGAAAAATACCCCTTCCTGTGAACTTAACTTAAAGAAGAAGAAGGGGAAAACTTCTGCCCCTCGTGTTGTTGAGGGGGAATTATCTTTTGTAACATTGGATGAGATTGGGGAAGAGGAAGATGGAGCTGCACATCTAGCACAAGCTCTAGTCACTGTGGATGAAGTAATTGATGAAGAAGAAATAAATATGGAAGAAATGGTAAAAAATTCAAATTCACTTCTTACATTAGATGAGTTAATTGATCAAGATGATTGCATTTCCCATAGTGAACCTAAAGATGTTACTGTACTGTCAGTGGCTGAAGAGCAAGATCTCCTCAAACAGGAACGCTTGGTAACTGTGGATGAAATTGGTGAAGTTGAGGAGCTACCTTTAAATGAATCGGCAGACTTAAGTTTTACCACTTTAAATACTAAAGGAGATGAGGGAAATACTGGAAGGGATCCCATTGGGTTCATTTCTTCCCAGATGCCTGAAGACCCTTCTACCTTAGTTACTGTAGATGAGATACAGGATGACAGCAGTGATTTGCATTTAGTGACTTTGGATGAAGTAACTGAAGAGGATGAAGACTCCCTGGCAGATTTTAACAACCTTAAAGAAGAGCTTAATTTTGTTACTGTTGATGAAGTTGGAGAGGAGGAAGATGGAGACAATGATTTAAAAGTTGAATTAGCACAAAGCAAAAATGACCATCCCACAGATAAAAGGGGGGATAGAAAGAAGAGAGCTGTGGACACAAAGAAGATGAAGCTTGAAGCCTTGTCCCACGTTGGTCCAATAAATGAAAATGTTATGGAAGAAGATCTGAAAACCATGATTGAAAGACATTTAGCAGGTAGATATTTAGAAGTGGTAGTTTTTCTGCTTTATGAGGGGATTTCATTTACAATTTTTAAAATAGATGTTGCAGCATTACTAATAATTTTTCCTGTGTTAATATAAGAAGTCAACAGGCAGTTATATGGCCAGTGATACTATCCAAAGAAATGTGTGCAAGTTCACAGATTTCTTTTAACTATAGAGCAGACTTTGTCCCAAGTTATCATACCTCAAGAAAAGATGACAAAGCTGGAAAGCAAACTAGAGTGCCCAAATTAGAATTGGAATGAAAATGGTATATTTGTGTTACTGGAAAACACAGCTTTTGATGAATAGAAGGATGTTATTCTACCAGACTGCTTCCCAGTTTTTCCTTAGATTTAGGATTTAGAAAAATTTGTAAAGGTACCATTTCACTGTCAAGTAATATTTTGATGGTATAGAGTAATAGGTTTAGCTCACTTTAGGAAGATCAAAATAATTTCTGAACTAAGAATGGCATGCTATTACTATAGCAATAAATTAGACTTTCTCTTTAAAGCTAAAACGCCAACCAAGAGAGTTAGAATTGGGAAAACACCACCATTGGAAAGAGCTGTTGCGACAGAACCAGTGAAAGGTGAAGAGGCCTTCCAAATTAGTGAAGGTAAAGCAGGATTGATGGAAGTGGGGAGGAGTGTAGAAAGTAACACAACACAAGGTGGTCATTGAAATTCCAAAGGTCTACCATCTAAGAAGAAAAGTAGAAAAGCAGTGAAACACCGTGGGGGGGGGGGGGTGGTGAGGCAGAGAAGGCAGACTTACCTGGATAAAGATTTTTGTCTTTGTAACTTGAAGATAATGGAATATAATAGAATGGGATAACAGAATAGGAGGCAGTCCTTTTATGATAGAATGTGACAATAAAACATGACAATTTTGTGGAAATGATACACAAAAGATTATTCTGACCATGTTGCAGCCTCAAGTAGAAATCATTGCTTAATTCTTATTTGTGGGCCCAGATCCCTTGCTTTGTGGAGGCTGCCAAGCAGCTAGCCAATGGATGAAACAAGGTGTCTAAACATTGATAAAATTTATGTTGAGACAAATAAGGACCAGTGTCTAGTGAGAGTGAATACTCTAGTCACTCAACAAATATTTGTCACTGTGTCTATTATATTCAGAGCAAAATTATAAAAAGGGTAAGAAAAAACACACAGTTCCATGTCTCAAGTTAACTGATTCAGAGAGTTAAAGCAAAAAATCAACTACTAGGATGACTTTAAACAGCACTACAAGGTATTCTTTGTACCGTTCTCATTGATGTACCCTCCTTGCCCTCTTGCTTTTCTGTCCTGTCTTCTTTAAGGAAAAACTACTAACTGTGATCAAGTCCAAGTTCATTGAATCTGATCTAAGCTGTGCCCTCAGTGCTGCTTCACAGTCTGTTCTAGGCCTCCTTTCTTCCTCATTTCCTAACCAGATGTAATAGAGGTCTTTTCCCCACTCTGTATCACCTACTGCATTACCCAGCTCATTCCTCCCTGGATAACCTTGCTTTCATTTCCATTTACCAGAGCAAATAGAGTATCTCCCCTGTCTACCAACTTGTATTTGATCTACCGTGGCACCTCACATATAAAATATGGCCAAGTCTTTCCCATTAAAAAAAAAAACATGCCCTTAACTTGGGAATCCTTCTGGTTCCCACCCCTTCTCTTTGCTTTCAGTGCGAAGTATCTGGAAGGAATCACCTGTTTTCACTTCTTCTCATTAAACTGAATGTATTTTGACTTCTTTCTAATTCACCTTCCTGAAATTGATGTTGACAGAGAACCCCCCCAGCTTGATTTATTGTTTTCTTTTCTTCCTAATTTGGTTTTATTTGACCTCTCTGCATTATTCGTTACTATTGTTCATGTCTTTCTTGAAGCTCTCTCCCATGGCTAAGTGGGTACTCTTCCTTCTTTGTGTGTTCTTCTCCATAACTTCTCCTTGATACAAAGCTATAGTTAGTAGTTTGGTAATCTGACAAATAGCTCCTAGCATGATTTCATGAGAGTGTTTTTCTCCCAGGATTTCTGTTTGCAACTACCAGCTTGTCTAGAACTGCCTCATCTCAGCTGAAGAATAAAGATGACTTACATACTGTTTATATAACAATTTATTTCTGTTAATGGACAATACATTTGACAAAAGGACCTAGCAGAAGCAAAAGTAATTTTCTAAATAATTTTAAACCTAAAATAATTGTTCTAATCTATTTAAATAATTATATATAACATATATTTTTAATATTACAAGATAAATGTAGCCGGAGCAAATATGTTTGAGAAAGTTTATTATTACTCTGGTGAGGGAATAAACTTTTGTAGGAAGAGACTACAGGCTATTTTAATCAAGTCAAGAAAAGGGAGAGCCTTTTTTAATTGACTCTTTAGGACTTGATGACTTGTAAGACACCAGGAATAATGATTTCATAGTTCCTGTCCATCCCCTCATATTTGTTGAAGAGTGGCCCAGTTGCATGGAGAGACACTGAACTTGAAGTCACAAGCTTTGGTTCTAGCCTCTGTCCAAGCGTTGCGACCTTGGGCATGCCTATAGTTTCTTGTGTCTTGGTTTTGCTTTCTCCGTCTCTGAAGACATTGGGATAATGATGATTTGACCTGCCTATCTCACACAAGATAAATGCTAAGTAGATGGTGTATATGTGAAGGAGATTTGTCAACTACCACAGTAACAGTAAGGTATTACAGCTCCTGAGGGTAACCAGGATTGCTTGGAACCAGTTCCCATTTTTGTTTTCCCCCAAGATCATTTTATGCAGAGTCTGCTAACATTGAATGTTTCTCACATATTACTTTGCGGAGCTTTAACATTTGTAATTTCACTTACGATTCTGTCTGACAAGGGTCTTGTCTGTCAGTTTAGGCTCAGTTTTTCCTGATTGGAAGAGCCTCAGTACAGGGCATCAGAATTATTTTCTACCCATGTCTTTTCCTCCTTAATCCACACTCTTTCCCAGCCCAACCCAGCCCTTTAACATACTCTAGTTAACTCTTGACAGTAATTATAGAACTTGGGCTTCTTCCATTACCATTTAAGTTCTTTTGAGAGCAATATATAAACAAAATATGCTGTTAGCTTTTGTCCATTTATTCCTAACATTGAAGAATCTTGGAAGAGTGGTCAAGTGGGATTAAACAAGGAAGGTTTACTTAGAGAGATGAACCATAAGTTAATCTTTGAAGGCAGGGACTATCTGATGTTAGGTTTATAGGCTGTAAGTCTATTTTGAATAACTTTTTCCTTGAAAATTTAATGATTTTAGTTGATGAAGAATCTGCATTGAAGGATTCAGAACCAGAACGAAAACGTAAGAAGATTGAGGATTCTTTAGGGAAATCAGTGGTACCTGATGTTCCCGAAGGTAAAAAATAAACATGACATTTTTCCTTCTCCTTATGAAATAAAAGTTCAGTACCGTAGTAGGCGTTCTGTTGTTTAGATAACTAATGCAGTAACCTTGCTTAGATGATTAGAGTAGAAATTCACATTGACATTTCTGAAGACAGTTTATTAGGCCTAGCAAGGTTTTTTTGCATTCTGGGAAATGTCTCTTCTTGTATTCCTGTACTTCATTTGCTGCTATGGAAAGAATTGAGTTATACTTGCCCAGGCAGAAATTTCAGTTAAATAGAACATGCTGAAAAGCTTGGCTGGCAAACTGTTTTGTGGCCAGCTAAAATGAGCTAAGGAGCACCATATTTGTTTACCCAGCATATTCCTCAAGCAGTTACCCATCGTTCTGCCTCTTTTTTTCTTGATTCATTTTAATAGGATTCCAAAAAGGTTTATTTCAAAGGCTTTTAGATTATTTTCCAGTAAATTGCTATTCTGAAGGAATGTCATGGTATCCTTGAGGCTCTGGAATATTATAGAATCCATTCAAAGATAGAGACATTGGTTTTGTGATTAAAAGCTTAATTGCTCTTGATCCCTAGGTACATGGCCATATATATTATGTTTATATGTAAATATATATTGTGATTAGCATGTTTGTTGTGTTTAGATAAATTAACACAGCTATAGATAAATTATTAATTTTCCTCCACTCTCTTCCCCCCTCTTTCTTCCATCCTCTAGATTTGGACTTTCTTGTACCGAAGGCTGGATTCTTCTGTCCAATTTGTTCCCTCTTCTACTCAGGTGAAAAAGCAATGACAAATCACTGCAAGAGTACACGTCATAAGCAAAATGCAGAGGTAACTCTTTTTTTTTTTAACATCTCATGAAATTCTTCAGGGGGTAGTATTATAATCAAACTACTTAAGTGTCCACCCAAAATGTACATTCTTTCCCTTTGGGAGAACTTTTGAAGGTTTGTACCTGTTCATTCCTCTTCAGTTCAAAAGTACAGTCTTCAGTGTACCTTGCCAGGAACTCTGAGTCTTTATTCCTTTTCCTCTGGCAGCATTCCCCAGAGTAGATTCTGCAGGTCATTAGTCCCATGTGACGCTCCATTAAAGTGTGGGAAACCATGTATTCTGATGGCCTCTTGCAGAATCATGGACACATAGCTTTTTAAATTTTGTGAATTGTCTAGTCAGAATCTGCTAAACTTTATTTAACACATTCCCTAAATGGATTTAATCACAACCCCTCTCCCCTGTTTAAAATTGTACTCATCTTTAGGAAGCACTACTTTAGTGAATCATCATTAACCATAGTTGAAGCAGTGTTTCTGATTCCTCCGGAATCTTTGAGAGTTGTTTTATATATCCTCTACCTTGAATCTGTGGCATCAACACTGCTCTAACATTTATTGAGTTGTTATTTGCTGGAAGCATATTTACTCCCCTTGTCAATTCTAGGAGGTGGATGGTGTCATTCAAAATGTACTTTTAAAAATTTTTTTTAAATTTTTTATTGTTCCAGTTATAAAGATCAGGAAAACAGGCTTAAAGAGTATCTAGTCCCAAGTTCACATAGCTAGTTCATGGCAGACCTAGGATTTGAAGCTAGCTCTGTTCTATTCTGGCCTCAAACCCTTAACTGTTACGCTATACTACCTGTGCTCTTAACTTTATCATGTCATTTTTCTATTTAAAATTTCCACTGGCATTGTATTACATTTGGAATAATATCCAGACTTCTTCTTGTAGGGCTATGAAGATCTGATTCCTGTTTCTCTGATCTCACTGTTATTGCTCACTACCTTTCAGTTTTCCTAGCTCTCTTGGCTTTCCTTTTCATACATGAAAGGCCCCTTTGCTGCTTTTGTACCTTTGTATCACTGTTCCTTTGCTGTCTCCCAATGCCACTTGTATAGCCACCTCTTCCCCATCATTTAGCTAAATCTGAATTCCAATATCAACTTCCCAGAAAGGGCTGTGCTTAAGAAAGACCTAGCTGAAGTACAAAACTCCCTCCCACTTCCAAAAAGAGTCAACCTCGATCACTTACCTTATTGTATTTCTTTCCTTTATAGTGCTTACCAGCACCCAAAATTGTCTTGTTTATTTATTCTTTTATTATTTCTCTTCCCCCACTAGAATGTAAGCTCCATGAAATAAAGGGCCTTACCTATCTTGTTGACCACTGAATCCCCAAGCACCAAGCATAATGCCTGGTATATCATAAATATCAGATGACTGGTGAATGGAAGGAAAGAATGTTAATGTAAGGCAATGTGTTTCTAATCTTTATTTTGTAGGATCAGGCTCTTTTAAATTGTAAATTCAGTGAAATATATTAGATACGTTTGTATACAGAGCAAAGCTACATCTAATAAACATTTTATATTGCAAATTGCTTTTAACAGAAGTTCATGGCCAAGCAAAGAAAGGAAAAGGAGCAGAATGAGGCTGAAGAAAGAAGCTCTAGGTGATTGGGGGAAAGGGGAAGGACTTCATTAGAAATTCGTTTAGGGTCCAGTTGATTTGTGTATTTTTGTTATCATTAATTTGTAATTTTTGTTTCAGAAGCAAATATTCATGTTGTACAAATTTCTGATTGCCCTTGATGTGGAGAGACTGATGGGGAAAGTATGATGGGTTTGATTTTTATATCAAATCATCAGGCATGGAGAAATATCTTTTAGAAGTGTTAAAATAAATGTTCCTACTGTATATTTAAAATATCATCTTGTGTTTGTGGCTGATTTTATTAAAGACTTGGTTGCCTCTGATTTCAGACAGGAGACTGCTGTGACTTAGGATGTTTGGGGATTCTTCATGTATTACTGGAAGTCATAGCATAGCAGGGTTTCACTTTGCTTCAAACATTCATATATAGGTCAAAGATTTCTTAAAACTCCCATTTTTTCTGGATAAAATAACATTACAGCAAGTTTGACCCAGGTAAGTTTAAGTAAAATTGCAGCTTTTAATGTGTTAGGAAGATACTTTTTTCTGCTTGAAGTAACATCTGTTTCTGCCAGGACCTATTTAAGATAGCTTCTAGCAAGTCATTTAGTATTAGCTTGAAACTACAAAGACCAAGCAGCCTGTACTTCTGTGGACCATAATACAGTTGCTTTTCAAACCATTTGAATTTGTATTTCATATGTTTGTAAGAGTTGCAAAGGTGCAAAAAAATAATTCAGTGGATTATTAGGTGCTGGACATAGCCTTGTACTGTAAATTTTTAGATTAGGCATGCTTCAAACATAGGCCCACTGACTTTGAATTGCTTTAATACCAGATTTCGTAACTTTTCCAAGATTAGAGTACACCATTTAATAAGAGAGAATGAATGGAAGGAAATGAAAAACTACTTTTTTGGGTTTTTTTGTTTTTTTTAATTTTTTTTAATTTGAGAGAGCACCAGAGTAGGGGAGAGGGAGAGAAAAGAGACTGGATCTTAAGCAGACTCCACGCTCAGTGTAGAGCCCAGTGCAGGGCTCAGTCCACCGACCCTGTGATCATGACCTGAGCCGAAATCAAGACTCAGACGCTCAACTGACTAAGCCACCCAGGCGCCTGAAAACTACTACTATTTTAGATCTCTTACTCCCATCACAGCACATTACCTCACAGTGAGCGAGAATGAGGAACAAAAAGCAGCAACTTTTTGTTGCCCACTAAATTCACTGCACACTCGGTTCAGGCTTAGCCACAGCTTGAGCAAAATGACAAACTGTTACTACATGCCATAGACTAATGAATGGGGTGTGGAGAGGGATAGCTTATGAATGCTATCTGTCTATTGTAATTAAAACCTGATTGGTGAGTGAGGTAGTAAGATGGAGAAGAGCTATTAAAAGGTTGGAGAATAAGGTGCCAGTGAGCTAAAGCAGTATAGTCAGAATCTTTTCCTTAGGCCGCTCTGAAGCTTTTAAAACCAGAGATAGTAAGAGCTTTAATCTTGTCTGATTCAACTTTGGAATTAAAAAAATTTCTTTATTAGCGTTTTTATTTATTTTTTGAGAGAGAGCATGAGCAGGGGAGGGGCAGAAGAGAGAGGGAAACACAGACTCCAAAGCAGGCTCCAGGTTCTGAGCTGTCATCACGGAGCCCAACTCGGGACTTGAAGTCATGGAAGCCACAAGATTATGACCTGAGCCGAAATCAGACGCCTAACCAGCTGAGCCACCCAGACACCCCTCAACTTTGGAATTTAATCTTAAAATTTTAAGTGTGAAACTCTTCTGTCAAATTAGTTACATGGAAATTGGGATTCTAAATTAGAATAAAAGGAACTCCTAAAGCATAAAAGTGATAGGGATGATTTTTGTTTCATCCTAGTGACAGGTGTTGATGGTTAGTAAACCATATATAAACCATGCTATACTTAGTAAATCATGTTCCTGTCTGCTGCTTATTGTTCTTAAGACTGGCAGTTTTTAGGGTTCCAAATACAAAAGTTTTGTGTTTTTCTAAAAATAAAGACTCTTTGCATATAATTTTAGAATTGTTGTATACTTTTTTCAGAAAACCTTGCAATACCTCCATCCTTTATTCACACTATACTTCATCATATATGTAGCAGTTTTTGCTTACTAGTTGGTTGGGGGATATAATTGATTGCAGTGTACTTTTTAAAATTTCTATCATTTCATCATCTAGACACCAAAGCAATAAACGATTGCATTCAACACCACTTCTAATAAAAATTTCTAGGTTTTATTACCCTTTCTGGCACAGAATGCTGTGGAAATTTTCTGCCTCTCCAAAACTGTTCCTTTTGAATTCTTGAAAAAAAAATGAGAGCCAAGTTTTTAAGATTTAAAATTTTTGTTTTAATATGATTTGGTTGTGGAAAATACCAGGCATATTGAAGAAAATAGGATAATTTACACATATATACTAATTATGTAGTTTCAATAATTATGAACTCAAAGCTGAATATATGTATCTCCACTCGTACCTCTATTTTAAAGTAAATCTCAGCATGTCAGTTTACCCATACATATTTCATTATGTGCTTTTTAAAAATAAGGATTATTTTCATGTAACCAATAACATCATTAATGATATCCCTTATTTAAATCCAGTTCAAATTTTCTAATGTTTCATAAATGATTTTCATTTTATTATATACTGTGTTTGAATCAAGGTCCAAATAAAGTCCATACCTTGTGACTGTTTTGATAGGTCTTTTTTCTTTAATGTATGTTTGTTTATTTTTGAGAGCGAGTGAGCCCAAGCAGGGGAGGAGCGCAGAGATAGGGAGGGAGGGAGGGAGGGAGACAGGGAGACAGGGAGACACAGATTCCAAAGCAAGCTCTAGGCTCCTAGCTGTCAGCATAGAGCCTGAAGCAGGGCTTGAACTCAGGAACTGTGAGATCATGAGCTGAAGTCAGATACACAACCAACGGAGCTACCCAGGCACCTCTAATAATTTTAAAATGGGGTTTGTATGTTTCTGCATTTCTTAATTTCTTAATTTATTTGTTTGGTATTATAAAGAATAATAATCTGATGGATTGGAAATGGGGGGTGGGGGAAGGAAAGAAAAATTAAGCTGATCCCTCACATAATTTGAGAAACACTGCTGAAGTGTTCCTCACAGTTTAGATTTTGTTGATTGCAGCCTTGTAGTGCAATTTTAGTATATTCCTCTATCCTATGATATCCTTTGAATTTGTGGTTGAATATGGAAACATCAGAATTTGGTTCTTTTTCTTTTTGTCAAGACTGCTTCTGGTGGTGATGTGATCTTCCTGATCAGGAGGCACAAAGTATCTGATTGTTTTCTTTAGGATTTTAGTAGCAGTTGATGCTTAAAGTTTAGATGTATATTTTATTCATTGAGGGTTGCAAAATGGTGATATTTTAATGTATATTCCTTGTATAAGCTGGAATACTCTTCTGAAAAAAGAAACTTGTCTCATCTGCTTTTTAGTTACTTAGTGGTGTCGTTTGTTTAAGAAAGGCATGATGCAGGGGGTGTCTAGGTGGCTCATTCTGGTAAGCCTCCACCTCTTGATTTCGGCTCAGGTCATAATCTCATGGTTCATAGGTTCGAGCCCTGTGTCGGCTCGGTATTCTTTCCCTCTCTCTCTGTGCCCCTCCTCTTCTATCTCTGTCTCTCTCAAAATAAGGAAAGGCATGACAGGGGTGGGTGGCTCAGTTGGTTAAGCGTCCAACTCTTGATCTCAGCTCAGGTCATGATTTCAAGCATGGTAAATACTGATGCTTTTCCTTAATCATTTTTTTAAGATGAGTTGCTGGTACCCACCAACTATGGTAAGTTCTTTTATTTAAGTATTGAACTCCTGAATTTTAACATACTTGATGTTGCATACCTTTGCAGTAGTAGTCTTATTGATGGTCAAATTGTCGTAGTTTGGGCCTTTTTGATAGGACTCCTCATTCCTTTTAACAGGACACTACTAATTTTCAAAGATTCCTTGTTCTCCATGTATAGATACATTGCAGGCTCACCTTGTACACTTTCTGCCCCAGACATTTCTTTAAGGAAGTTAGCCATTTCTTTAAGGAATAGTGGCTCCTTAGGATGCTTATTGCTTCTGTTGTGGTTGTTGCTTTTCAATGGACAGAGCTTGGAAATATGTGTTTTGTTTTTATGATAAAATTCATCATTATACTCTTCTGGCTCAAATACAGGACTTTCAGGTTTCTATTTATCTTTTTTTTTTTTTTCTTTTTTGAGAGAGCACACACATAAGCAGGGGAGGGTCAGAGGAGAGAGAATCTTAATGCAGGCTCCATGCCCAGCACAGAGCCTGATGCAGGCCTGAATGGATGTATAGTGATCGTTGGATGGATGGATGGATGGATGGATGGATGGATAATGGGAAAACTCAAAGACATCTATCTAACACCCTAACTGCAGTGATTTCTTCCCCCTATGGGAGTGATAGAATGCCTTTTCTTTCTTCCTTTTTTTTTTTAATTTTAGTGAGGGAGCGAGGGAGAGGAGCATAAGGGTGGAGGGAAGGGGCAGAATCTTAAGCAGGCTCCACGCTCAGTGCAGAGCCTGATGCAGGGCTCAATCCCATAGCCTTGAGATGACCTGAACCAAAATCAAGAGTCAGATGCTCAACTGACTGAACCACCCAAGGTGCCCCATCTCTTCCATCTTAAATCTAGATTTATTTGTCTTAATGTCAGGTATTGTAAGTCGCAAGGACCTCTGATTGATGGAATTAAACTATCAAAATTGCTTATCTGTATCATACATCAGAAAAACAATACTGAGACCACAACCAACAATGTGATTATTAAAAAGTTTAAAAAACTTTTTCAGTTTTGTTTTTGTCCTTAGGGTATATCCTAAGAATATATATTTAAATTGCAGAGCTTTCTAGTCACCTGGATAGTTCTTTAGTAGCTCTGCTACCTTGTAGATTACCATTGAGGTTCATTTCTTTATTTTATTTTTTATATTTAGGGGTTACATTTTAAAATTTAATTTTATGTTACATGAAGCATTTCATGGTTCTGAAGTCACAATTTTTTTTTAATGGAGAATGAGCAAGAGAGGGAAGAACCCCAGAACAGACCCTGCTGCAGGGCCTGATCCCACAAACCTTGAGATCATGACCTGAACTGAAGAGTCGGGCACTCAATCAGTTAAACCACCCAAGCGCCCCTAAAACCAAACTTCTAAAACAAGGTATAGCCAAAGAATTGTAGCTTCTCTCATTCTATCTTATTGCCTTCCTCCCTAATATAA